TTCCATACATTCAGGAAATTTGCACCAGGTTGTGTCATGAAGGCATATACATTAATTCCAGAAATGTCTACAAATCTCGTTAAGTTTGCACCTTTTTGCAAATGTTAAAAATTGCTAAGTTCTCCAGGAATGTTTTTTTTATCTGGTCAAAATAGCTTTTCACACTGATGGAGAAAAAAGCATTCTGTCTCCTATGGTAAAAAGACTTTTCATCTTCTGATATGGTAGAAAATGTAGTAATTTTCATTTGTTGCTTTTGGAGAATCTTATCTATCAGCAGTTTCACAATGTGGTGATCTATTTGTTTATTTATTTATTTATTTATTTTAGTAGGTCTATTTATGGACCCGAGTGTTAGCAAGTATAGTTAGCTCAATTAATTTTAATGGGAAGATGCTAATTTACAACAGGTTGGGATATCTATCTAACTAGGAGACAATATCACATAAGCACTGATGGATAGTACAATGGGTTTTTTCCCTCCACAAGACAGAGCATACATGACAAACACACAACCCTTCTGTATTATACCACAAACATAATACATCATTATCTTAAAAAACATATCCAAAAGAAAATAAAAGATTTTTCTTACCTGATCTGTGGGTTTTGGTGGTGAAGAGAAGCTATTTGTAATCAAAGAAGACACCAGAAATAAAACAACCAACTGTTTTTCCATTATGAAAAACTGTTGCTTTTTTGCCTTCAGGACTCTTCAGTCATGGGTAACAATGCTATGGCTGAAAATCATCAGTGATTTGGTAGCTTTATTTCTTTACTACATTACAAGGAAAAGACTGAAGTGACTTCCCTCCTTTTCCTGAAGAAAGCAATGAGCTAAACCACAAAGCACGTGAAACCTGCCCTTAGATAGGAAAATTACCAAAATATATGGCTTTTGCTGAAAGTTTTCATTGCAAAGCTGAATAAACTCTTCCTAACTAAATGACAGGATATCCTGATAGCAGATCCTTCTCTCTGTAGCTGTTGACAATACAATTCCAAGGACACTGAATTGTGGTGAGAAGATATTTTTCTTTTTTTAGATGGACATGTACTGAAGTTGGGAATAGCTGTTGATCTTGTCATCACTTGAATGAGGTCAGGCAGAACAAAAACTTTATGGAGCTGGGCTTATCAGTTCTTGAAACAGAAGGGTGTATCCATCAAATGTAACTCTTAGAGACATTATCTGAGGTGGCCAAAACAGCACCTTCTAGCTTTGGTTAGCTGGATAAAAGAAAGGACTCCCGCCCCTTTTGTTTTTACCCTCTTCGGAGTTTCATTACATCATTATAACTAATCTTTTAGAATGGGTACAAAGAAAATTAAGTCAGTCAATTTAGCTGGGCATATTTGGAAAGAATGAATAGAAGGACATTTTGAAAAGCTAAGGGAAGAAATTCTCTCACTATTTTCAAAGCTTTTCAATTCCTTGTAATTCTTTTAATGTTATGAGGCCCAGTCACTCTCACTCACAAATGCAATGACCTATGTTTTCAAGAGTAGCTTGTGATTTGGGGTGCCTCAACTTTTGGTTGGTTGGCTTTATAAAAGTTTCCAGAAAATCCAAAGCAGCCCTCCATCTCATGGAAGAGAAAGTTTTGGTTTAATGGTAATACTTTTACTGAAGTAAGCAATTTTTTGTAGAAAAAACCCCAGGAGAAACAGGAAGGAAAAAAACAGGCTAGTTGTGACCTGCTTTTTCAGGAGTTGAATAAAGCTCAACTCCGCGGAGTTGAGCTTTATTCAACTCCTGAAAAAGCAGGTCACAACTAGCTTGTGTTTTTCCTTCCTGTTTCTCCTGTTTTTCTTCTGCAAAAAATCCCACTAGGGGCCACGAATTTTAAATGCGATACAGAATTGGCCCTGAGCCAAACCCTGAATCTAGGTCTGAATTTCCTCCCAGACAGGCTGCTTATTTCTATTCAGCTCAACCTGAGGGGCCCTAAATAAAGTGGGTAGTCAGGTGAGCTGTACACATCTCCCATTTTGTCCTGGGTACTGATTATTTGTTGGTTGCCTGATTAGTAGTGGGCAGCAATATTGTGTCTGCTGCCTTCCCAGTCTGCTCATATCATGCATTTGATTTGAGATTTAAGACTTTTAGGGAGAGGTAATTTGTCAGGCCAGCAGAAATGGTCTGGGCTGTCCAGCTGCTGCCACTAAGAAAATACTTCATTTGGTTCAGAAAGAATAGCTGAGGTGTTCCCCAGCAGGCAGGAAGTGTGACAATTTGCAAGTTCTCAAGTCTTTGTCTTTCAGGGTCTCTGAAATATTATTTTGCAAATCAAACTAAACAAAAATCCTGAAGCCATGTCTTTCCACAATGGCAGAGACAATCTGGGCTGTCCAGCTGCTGCCACTAAGAAAATACTTCATTTGGTTCAGAAAGAATAGCTGAGGTGTTCCCCAGCAGGCAGGAAGTGTGACAATTTGCAAGTTCTCAAGTCTTTGTCTTTCAGGGTCTCTGAAATATTATTTTGCAAATCAAACTAAACAAAAATCCTGAAGCCATGTCTTTCCACAATGGCAGAGACAAACTTGGATGTAGAGTACATCAAAGTCATAGGCCTTTCCATTTTTTCTTACAAGCTGCTATGTTTCTGGGCCTGGTTTCTGAGGAGCTAAAGATCCACCTCTGTTTTGCCTCCGCACAGTCATCCATAAATCAGGCGAGAAATGACTCTTATGTAGCTTCCTGTGCTGTTGGCTCCTGCCAGAGCTGAAGCAGTATGAGAATAGACCTTACTGGAGTATTTCTGTACTTTTGCTTCTAGGAAAGCAGGAAACACAGACTTTCAAGAGAAAACAGAAAAGTAATGGAATTGTGTTAAACCTTAACATTTTGGTTCCTGTCCGTTCTGGGGCAGATACTGAAATTATCCACACTGGTTCCCTATCTCCAATTATAGGGTAAAGGCAAATATTGCAGAGTAGATTTGACACCATCACAGTTAAAGGTTAGGTTGAATAAGGGTGTGTCAACATTGCACCCTTAGCTCAAAATAAGAAACACAATTTGCACTACCCAAATTACGTATCTTATTTTGATTCTTTTTTGCAATAGGCTATTTTGAAATTTGGCGCATCTACACAGCGCCAAATTTTGAAATAAAACACTATTTTGAGACATCACTTGTGCAATGAGGTTTATAGGGATGCCGAAATAACACGTCTGCTATATTTCACTACAGTGGATGTCTACATTGCAGTGTAGACGTACCCTAAGACAATAGTTCCTGTAAAAAGAGTATCCCCTGGATTGTGCTGACGGTGCTCAGTTAATCTGTATGGTGTATTATAGGTGGAAACAGTGAGCTCTTCTGTATCGCTCTTGGGTTATCACTTACCTCTGTTGTAACCACATGTGCCTCTTTGCGCTGCTGGGTATTCAAGGTGCTTTGCATATGTTCATAGAATCCTAGGGTTGGAAGAGACCTCAGGAGGTCACTGAGTCCAACCCCTTTCCCAAAGCAGGACCCACCCCAACTAAATCATCCCATCCAGGGCTTTGCCAAGTCAGGACTTAAACACCTCTGGGGAAGTATATTTCACCACCTCCCTCGGTAACCCATTCCAGTACTTCACCTCCCTCTTAGTAAAATAGTTTTTCCTAATATCCAACCTACACCTGCCCACTGTAACTTGAGGCCATTGCTCCTCATTCTGTCATTCTCTCCATTCTCTTTGGAACCTCCCTTAAAATAGTTAAAGGCGTATCCACCTTCACTCTTCTCTTCTGCAGACTAAATAAGCCCAAATCCCTCAGCTGCTCCTCATAGGTCATGTGCTCCTGCCCCCTAATCATTTTTGTTGCCCTCCACTAGACCCTCTCTAATGCGCTCACATTCTTTCTGTAATGGGGGGCCCAGAATTGATTGCAGTACTCCAAAAGTGGTCTCACCAGTGGCAAATAAAGGGGAATAATCACTTCTCTATATCTGCTAGCAGTGCTCCTCTTAATGCAACCTAATATGCCATTAGCATTCTTGGCTACAAGGGCACACTGTTGACTCATACGCACTATAATCCCCAGGTCCTTTTCTGCTGAATTGCTGCTTAGCCAGTTGGTCCCCAGCTTGTAACAGTGCTTGGGCTTCCTCTGTCCCAAGTGCAGGACTCTGCATTTGTCCTTGTTGAACCTCATCAGATTTCTTTTGGCCCAATCCTCCTATTTGTCTAGGTGACGCTGGATCCCATCCCTGTCCTCCAATGCATCTACCTCTCCCCTTAGTTTAACACCATCCACAAACCTGCTATGGGTGCAATTCATCTCCATATCCAGATCATTAATAAAGATGTTGAACAAAACCAGCCCTAGAACCGATCCTTGGGGCACCCTGCTTGAAACCGACATCAAACTGTTGATCACTACCCATTGAACCCAACAATCTAGCCAGCTTTCTATCCACCTTACAGTCCATTTATCCAATCTATACTTCCTTAACTTGCTGGCAAGAATTATGTGAGACCTTATCAAAAGCTTTGCTAAAGTCAAGGTAGATCACATCCACTGACTTCTCCATATCTACAGAGCCAGTTACCTCATCATAGAAGGCAATCAGGTTGGTCAGGCATGACTTGCCATTGGTGAATCTATGTTGACTGTTCCTGATTAGTTTCCTCTCCTCTAAGTGCTTCAAAATAGATTCCTTGAGGATTCCCTCCATGATTTTTTCAGGGACTGAGGTGAGGCTGACTAGTCTATAATTCCCTGGATTGTCCTTCTTCCCTTTTTTTTAAAGATGGGCACTACATTTGCCTTTTTTCAGTAATCTGAAACCTCCCCCAATCTCCATGCATTTTCAAAGATAAATGCCCAAAGGCTCCACAATGACATCTGCCAATTCCCTCAGCATCCTCAGATGCATTAAATCCAGCCGCATGGATTTGTGTGTCTAACTTTTCTAAATAGTTCTTAAACTGTTCTTTCTCCACCGCCTTCTTCCCATACTGTGTTGCCTAGTGCCGTAGTCTGGGAGTTGACCTTTTCTGTGAAGACAGGCAAAAAAAGCATTGAGTAGTTCAGCTTTTCCCACATTGACTCTGGCTGCACAGTTTTCTTGATCCTTTCAGATACACAGTCCCTGCAGCTCTAAGTTTTATCTAAATTATGGTCTGTGCATGGACTTTATCCTGTTTGAAATAATAAAATAGATATATTGGCCAATAAATCTTTAAGCTGTCACCTGTCAGCTTGGAGTCTATATTGTTTACATGAAGAGTTCAGTTCTTTAAAAACAAAAAAAATGTTGGTGGGGAACTGACAGGGCAAAGAAGTTTCCTGTGCACTCATCAGATCCTGTTCTTTTCCGCTACATGATGAGAAAAGTAAACCATTTCTTGTTTATGTAGACCAGCCAACAGCCAGAGTTCATAATATGTATACTAGGAGCACATATGGCTATGCGACCTTGACAATTATCATTTTTCTATGGTTAGGTCAAGCTCTTCCACACAACTTCACTTTGTTTGCAATATTGATCATATCTGGTCTGAGGCAGAGACATCACAAATCTTGATGAAGGAATTAAGAGCTAGATTTTGCCCAATCCCTATGTGGGTACAGAAGATCAGGAGGGCATCTCAATGACATGCCAGCAAGGGGATGGGTTCCTTCATGACTAACACACTGCAGGTTGAGGAGGCAACACATTTTGAAGAAAAAACTCCAACTATCAGCCAAGAATTTAGCTGGAGACCCATTGGCCATTAGATTCTACCTTCTTGGTAACTGGCAGATGAAGGTATGTCCTTCCTGGCTATCTTCAGCTACCAAAACTCAAAAGGTTGGCCTTTTATTTTTTTTAAAGGAAGGATCCTCAATCCTTTTGCCCCGTGCACATGCTGGAGCTGTATGAACTGTGGGAATCTTTCTTCTCGCATCACGTTCTAGGATATTGTATTATTGATTGTGGACAACATGTGACAATGATTTTGAGGGACAATTTTCCAAATAAACTGAAGGTCTGGGAGCAAAAGGCCTATACCTAACTTCAACTAGGATAGCAATCCAGTGCATGAATATGGGAAATGGGGTTGCCAACAGTCCCTTTTTGACCTTATTGAAAAGGGCACCCCTTATTTTTTCATCTCTGTACAAGAAAATTCAG